AGCGCAGGTCCACCTGCCGGACCCCGGCCGGGTCCAGGAACTCCAGCAGCCCCACCGTGCTGGCGATGGAGAGCTCTTCCGCCCGGAAGTCCCGGCAGCGCAGGCGCAGGGCGTTGTTGCTGTTGATCTGCAGGGCGTCCTTCAGCACCACGTAGGAGGTGCTGTTGACAAAAAGGTCCACCCAGACGTCCACGGAAACAGGCTGGGGCGCCGGCACGGCCACCGAGCTGCTGTAGGGGCCCTTCCTGCGCTTGGAGGAGCGCTTCAAGCACTTGCTCTGCTGCTTGGAGACGTCCAGGCAGGCCTTGGCCAGCGTGACCGTCCTGGACCACAGGCTCATGCTCTCCGGGCCCTGCCCTTCGTCCTGCAGGCCCGTCATGTCCAGGATCTGCAAGCGCTGCCCCTTGCTGCAAAAGGGAAAGCCGTTAAAGCAGGAGGAGGAGGAGGAGGAGGAGCTGTGGGGTCCTTGGTGCTTTCTGAACTTGGTGGTTTTCTTCCAGATGTTTCATGGCCCAACTAGGTAACATCATCAGTGCTAGAAGGGAGTGGGGTTTGCAGCGAGGAGGAGGAGGAGGAGGAGGACTGTGGGGTCCTTTATGCTCTCAGAACTTGGTGGTTTTCTTGCAGACCTTTCATGACCCAACTAGGGAACATCATCAATGCTAGAAGGGAGTGGGGTATGCAGGGAGAAGGAGGAGGAGGAGGACTGTGGGGTCCTTGGTGCTCTCTGAACTTGGTTGTTTTTTTCCAGACATTTCATGACCCAACTAGGTAACATCATCAGTGCTAGAAGGGAGTGGGGTTTGCAGGGAGGAGGAGGAGGAGGAGGAGGAGGAGGAGGAGATGGAGGAGGAGGAGGAGGAGAAGGACAACTGTGGGGTCCTTGGTGCTCTCTGGGCTTGGTGGTTTTCTTCCAGACGTTTCATGACCCAACTAGGTAACATCATCAGTGCTAGAAGGGAGTGGGGTTTGCAGGGAGGAGGAGGAGGAGGAGGAGAGGGAGGAGGAGGAGAGGAGGACGACGACGACTGTGGGGCCTTGGAGGTGTCTGAGCTTAGTCATTTGCTTGCAGACATTTCATTAAAACTAGCTGACCTCATCTGTACTATAATGAAGAAACCTCCCTCCCTTCTAACACTGATGAGGTTATCTAGTTGGGTCATGAAACGTCAGCAGAGCTTAGCTGACTCAGGAATTCTGGGAGTTGAAGTCCACGAGTCATAAAAGAGCCGAGCTTGCCTACCCCTGGTCTATACATATGTTGTATAGAGTATGTTTTAAATGTGTGTTATGTATGTGTACACTGGAGAGCAAGCAACTAAATTTCATTTTTAATGTGTGCCGTTGTGCCCACGGTAAAGAAAATGACAATAAAGGTTATCTAATCTAGAAAAAAAAATCTTATCTAATCTAAACGCCTCCATCTGGCTGACAGTCTTAACTGTGGCTTATTTCGGGGCGCAGGGCTTATATTACGGGCGTCCTGAAAAAAAATCACGCTAGGGTTTATTTTCCTGGCTGGGCCTTATTTTCAGGGAAATACGGTATCTGTAATTACTCTAGCTGATCACCGAGTGGGCTGACCTGCCTTCCTAGAGGTCACCCTTTGCCCAAGCCTTAAATAATAGGTGTTCTGATGGGACTAGGAAGAAAATAGGATTCCATTGTGTTCACGGTGATCTTTACTAAAATTATTCCGGGGTCCCTGGAAGAAATGTGTTGGTAAGGCCACGCTTGGAATCCTGCATCCAGTTTTGGTCACTGCGATGTAAAAAAGATGTTGAGAATTTAGAAAGAGTACAGAGAAGAGCAACAAAGATGATCAGGGGACTGGAGGCTAAAACATATAAGGAAAGGCTGCTGGAACTGGGTATGTCTAGTTTAACGAAGAGAAGGACGAGGGGGGACAGGATAGCAGCGTTCCAGGATTTGTGGGGCTGCCCCAAAGAAGAGGGAGTCAAGCTCTTCTCCAAAGACACCTGAAGGCAGGAGAAGAAGCAAAGGGGGGAAACTCACCAAGGAGAGAAGCAACCTAGAACTAAGGAGAAACTTCCTGAAAATGAGGACAATTAACCAGTGGAACCACCTGTCTCCAGAAGCGGTGAATGCTCCAACACTGGAAGTTTTTTAGAAGAGACTGGACAGCCATTTGTCCGAAATGGTATAGGGTTTCCTGCCTGAGCAGGGGGTTGGACTAGATGACCTTCAAGGTCCCTTCCAACTTTACTATTATTATTATTATTATTATTAAATGGCTTTACTCCTGGATTGCCTTATTGCAGGGGTGTCAAATTCAATTTCATTGAGGGCCGCATCAGCATTGCGGTTGCCCTCAGGGGGCCGGGTGGGTGTGGCCAGGGTGGGTGTGGCCTACTGGGTGGGCGTGGATGGAGTAGGTGTGGCCTACTGGGTGGGCGTGGCCAGCTCTACATCGTTCACGTCAAGGGGGCCTGTGGGGGGCCTGGGCAGGAGTGGGACAGATCTGAGGGTCTCTGGCAGAAGGGGGTGGGACCGGGGCAAGCGCCAAGGCAGGGTCCACTGGAGGAGCCTCACCGTTCCTCTCAGGCCGTGCAGGGGGGGCTGGATGGTGACGCGGGCTGCCCGGAGCCCTGGGCAGCAGAGGTCAAATGCCCAGCCTGGCCCTCGAGCACCCGTGGCACCAAGCCCAGCCCCACTTCCCCAAGGGGGTGTCCAGCTGCACTTACCTCCTCCTCAAGGCTGCTGCTGCTGTGACTGCTCTCCTTAGCCAGGTTGCTCATGATGGGTACGAGGGCAAAGTCAGAGGGAGGCCCATTCCCTCTCCATGGGAGGAGACCCAGCTTTGTATCCAAAGCTTCCTTAGCAATAGGATGCGAGACCCCCAGGATAAGCCAGGAGGATGGGGGCAAGGGGATGGCGAAAGGGCAGCACTAAAGTAGGACTTCCCTGAGACCCTCCCTCTCCTTCTTTCCTTCTTTCCTTTCTTCCTCCCTAAGTACAGAGTGGTGGGAAAATATTTGAGATGAGGGAGGGAGAAAAACAGGCCAGGGCCAAGGCAGAGGGGGCCGTTCCCTCACTGTTTCCAGAATGGCTTCGCGGGCCACATGAAACCACTTTGCGGGCCTTCTCCGGCCCCCCGGGCCTTGGGTTTGACATGTCTGCCTTATTGGGTACCGTTTTGGTCTTCTCAGCCTCTTTAGGGCAAAGAATCCAGGGCAGCCACTGGGCAAATAAAATGAACATCAGGCAGGTGAGTCCAACCTTTATCTTCACAGGCAAAGGCTTTGACACCGTGTGTAGGAATCACAAGCAATGAGAAATGGCTTTCCAGATAGATAAGAGAGGGTCAGGGTCTTAAAAAGGCTGGAGTGAAGTTTTAAGTGTGTGATAGAATGACAACTGATAACGAAGGAGCCAGGTGAGAAGCACCACAAATTAGAAATTTTGGTTTTTAACACCACAACATTTCTGTTTCTAAGCAAGACAGTGAATGCCCCGTTTTGTGACCTTTCCTGCCACAATTGTTAAGTGAATCTGTTGTTGTTCACTTTGTACAGGCAGTCCTTGACTTACATCCATTCGTTTGGTGATCGTTCGAAGTCACAACAGCACTGAAAAAAATGACTTATGATCGTTTTTACACGTATGACCGTTTTTCACACTTACGACCATTGCGACATCCCCGGGGTCACGTGATCTAAATTCAGGAGCTTGGCAACTGCCTCTTATTGACGACGGTCGCAGTGTGTCCCAGGTGTGTGTGTGTGTGTGTATGTGTGTCACTTGATCCCCTTTTGCGACCCTATGACAAGCACAGTCAATGGGGAAGCCAGATTCACTTAAAAACTGGGTTATTAACAACTGCAATGATTCACTTAAGAACGGTGGCAGCAAAGGTCATAAAATGGGGCAAAATTCACTTAACAAAAGCCTCACCAAGCGTCAGAAATCTGGGGCTGAATTGTGGTAGTAAGTCACCGGTCATAACTAGGAATCGTTTTCCAAGCATCCGAATTTCGATCGCCGTGACCGTGAAGAGGCTGCAACGGTTGTTAAGTGCGAAAAACGATCCTGTCATTTTTTTGTGCCTTTGTGACGAACTGAACTGGCGTTAAGCCAAGGACCACCTGTCTTTTTCTGGCCTCGGTGGAGAAGCACGTTCTGTATCCACCAACCCTTCCCTTATGGCAGTGGTGGCGAACCTATGGCACGTGTGCCAAAGGCAGCACTCAGAGCCCTCCCTGTGGGCACATGCACCATGCCCCGGAGATGGCAACCGTCCCTCTTCAAGCAGCCGCCCACTAACTCGCCGAGGTCCCACGTGGCCGGATGTATCCCAGCATGGCTAGTTTCCCTCCCCCCTTCCCATCCCTCCTGGCCTCGCATGCTCTCCTTTTCCCGGGCACGACCCACTGCATCGCCTCCTTAGCTGTCGGCAGGCCCGCCAGCTCAGAGGCGGCTTCTCTGAACTACTGGCGGCGGGCTGCGGAGCCCCAGAGTGCGCCGGTCGAGGTGCCGATAGGCTGTGGCTGCTGACGGACACTGTCGACCCCCATGCGCTCGCTGGCCTGTGTGTGGGGGCCGATGGTATCAGGCAGCAGCCGCCTCGGCCCCTGCCTCGCCTTGCCCTGCGACAATGGCACCCCCGCCCTGCCTCGCCTCACCCCGCAGGACGAGCCTCCTGCCCACCGCCCCATCTGCCAGAGACCCCCTAGATCTCCCCCAACCCTCACAGATGTCCCTCCCCACGAGCAACATCAAGGTGACCACGCCTACCTTGGCCATACCCACCCAGTCTACCATGACCACCACAGCCACGACCACCCAGTGGGCCACCCCCACCTGGCACCCGGCGATTAAATGTGGGTTTTGGGTGGCCGTTTGGGCACTCGGTCTCTACAAGGTTGGCCATCACTGCCTTATGGAGACCAAAGAACAAAGGGGAGCATGTTACCTCTTAGTACGATTTCGATCCTCCAGCATCTTCATGAGGTACGTCACCACCCCCAAGATAATGGCCTGGATGCACAGCTTGTTGGGCTTCTCCCGGATCAGGGCCCGTTCGCAATGCTGGCATTTGCGCAGGAGTTTCTGGAAACTGAGGACGTGGAAGGGCCAGGTCTGCACTAACTGCTGGAGCGACGGAGTTCTCTTATCCATGAAGGCGGCCTTGAACAGCACGGGGTACAGCTCCTTGGGGAGGAAGCCCAGGGCATCTTGCAGAGTTGTGTAATGGGAGACAACTTTCTGGGCACAGAGGAAGACCAGGGAATACATGGCGGCAACCGGCCAGGCAGCGAGCCAGAGGGACGCTAGGGAAAAGAATAATATTACTAGGTATTTTTTTCTCTCTCCAGTCTACCTCGAAAAACATCCATTTTCAAACCTTCCTAGCGACTCCAGTTTCAAAAAAAAAATGTAATGAGAAATGGAGATACAAAATGCACATTGTAAACAAAAAAAAACCCCACAACGTTCCTGCAAAGAATTCACAGAGAAAGGGTCACCCTATTGTCCAAACCACCTGAGAGCGGGACAAGAAATAAGGGAGGGAAACTAATCGAGGAGAGAACCAACCTGGACCAAAGAGAAATTTTCTGAGAGTGAGAACAATCAATCAGTGGAACAGAAGTTGCCTCCAGAAGTTGTGGGTGCTCCAACACTGGAGGTTTTCAAGAAGAGACTGGACAGTCACTTGTTTGAAATGGTATAGGGTCTCCTGCTTGAGCAGGGGGTTGGACTAGAAGACCTCCAAGGTCCCTTCCAACCCTGTTATTCTATGTTCTAAGGAAGGGGGTCTTCAAACTTGGCCCTTTGATGACTTGTGGACTTCAACTCCCAGAATTCCTCAGCCAGGCACGCGTGCCTGGCTGAGGAATTCTGGGAGTTGAAATCCACAAGTCATCAAAGGGCCAAGTTTGAAGACCCCTGTCTTAAAGCATCCTGGCTGAGGAATTCTGGGAGTTGAAGTCCCCAAGTCATCAAAGGGCCAAGTTTGAAGACCCCTGTCTTAAAGCATCCTGGCTGAGGAATTCTGGGAGTTGAAGTCCCCAAGTCATCAAAGGGCCAAGTTTGAAGACCCCTGTCTTAAAGCATCCTGGCTGAGGAATTCTGGGAGTTGAAGTCCACAAGTCATCAAAGGGCCAAGTTTGAAGACCCCTGTTCTAAGGTAACAGCTATTATTTGTCAATTCCAGCCCAAAACCCACAACAACTTACGGTACCTTAAAAACTAGTAAATGGGTTATTACGTCAGTTTTTAGGATTACTCTTTACTTCATCAAATATGTGGATCCAACCCAAAGTTCTGCAGCCTGCGAAAGTCTAGACTGAAGGATCAGATTAATGTCAGGCACGAAAGACCAAGTCCACGGCGAAGGTCCAATTAAACCGACTTATTGCTAAGCAGCACACAGGGATCTTGTCAACTAATGGGGGGTACCTGCTGAAGTGAGATAATGGTCAATAGCACTGAAGGAAGGTGGGCTTTAGTCTGCTTACGGCTACGTAGGATTCTAGGCTGATTCCTCTTTAGACTCCGCCTCCAGGTTCTGCCACTCCTTCTCCTACAGTTAGGGACAGATTGTCATGGAGAACATCTATGTGCACACTAAGAGTTGACAGTGATTTGATGGCACATAAACAATAAATCAATCAATCTTGAAAGGGTCACAAGCCTCACTCTTGTTAGAGTTAAGAAAGGTCTTCACCCGGCATTTCAATCACAAAATCACGTGAAGTGTTAATACCACTTTACAAGGGCTTGGTAAGGCCACACGTGGAATACTGCATCCAGTTTTGGTCACCACGATGTAAAAACGATGTTGAGACTCTGGAAAGAGGGCAGAGAAGAGCAACAAAGATGATCAGGGGACTGGAGGCTAAAACATATAAGGAAAGGTTGCTGGAACTGGGTATGTCTAGTTTAACGAAAAGAAGGACGAGGGGGGACATGATAGCAGTCTTCCAATCTCTCAGGGGCTGCCCCAAAGAAGAGGCAGTCAAGCTATTCTCCAAAGCCCCTGAAGGCAGGACAAGAAGCAACGGATGGAAACTAATCAAGGAGAGAAGCAAACTGGAACTAAGGAGAAACTTCCTGACAGTTAGAACAATTAACCAGTGGAACAACCTGCCTCCAGAAGTGGTGAATGCTCCAACACTGGAAGTTTTTAAGAAGAGACTGGACAGCCATTTGTCCGAAATTGTGTAGGGTTTCCTGCCTGAGCAGGGGGTTGGACTAGATGACCTCCAAGGTCCCTTCCAACTTTATTATTATTATTGTTGTTGTACTAAGAGGATGCTCCTTCTGGGAGAGGGCAGGTTGGGCAATATACTGGAGATCTTTAAGAAAAGACTAGACAATCACCTGTCTGAGATGGTGTAGGTTCTCCTGCTTAAGCAGGGGGGGGGGGGCTGGACTAGAAGACCTCCAAGGTCCCTTCCAACTTCTATTCTATTCTACCTCTTATTCTTACCTAAGAGAAAGCTCTATTCAACCAATGGAGCTTACTTTGGAATGCCACAGGTTTAATATGTAAAACATATTAAATTTTACCAAAGATTCTTCAACAAGCCGAAATGCAACCTTACCATCAGGAAACGAGGACAATCATTTTATAAAGCATTGTCACTGCGTTGAACTGCTAGTCTTAATTGGGAAGAGCAAAAAAAGGCCTCTATTCAATTCTTCTCTTTCCTTTTATTTCTACCTCTTTCGCCTTGGTGGTGAAATAGACTCCAGCTACCAGTCAGAAGACATGAGGGAAAACTCTTGAATTTCACAACGCATGTACAGACTTAGCCATAGTTTTCCAACTGGGAGACTGTGACCATCCAAGACTAGGCCAAGTTCAAACATGCTACGGAATTTCTAGAAGCCTGGCATTCTGATAAATTAACCACCAAGAGATACATAGACACAAACAATATTGACGTACTATGTAAAAGGGATTATGGACAAGCAAAAAAAAAAAAATGGGACAAAAAGACCAAAATAGCTCCCAACCAGCATTTATATGAGCATCAAGATTAACAATTTATATGAGCATCAAGATTAACAATCAAGGAGGAAACAATACCCCAGTTAAGGAACGACCAAGGCTGGCAAACAAGCTAATAATAAACAGCCTAATCAAAGAAATACCAATACTGACAGGGCAAGCCAGTAGCATATAAACTGAAAGCAAACCCCACTTCTTACTGGCACTGATGATGTTACCTAGATGGGTCATGAAACGTCCGGAGGAAAGCAACCAAGCTCAGAGAGCACCAAGGATCCCACAGTCCTCCTCCTTTTTCTTTTTCTCTTCTCCTCCCCTTCTTCCTCTTCCTCTTCCTCCTCACCCTCCTCTCCTGCTTCCTCCCTCCATTCTGCAACCCCCCCTTCTAGCATTGATGATGCTACCTAGTTGGGTCATGAAATGTCTGCAAGAAAACCACCAAGCTCAGAGAGCACCAGGAGAGAGAACCCTCAGTTCTCCTCCTCCTTCTCCAGCCCCACTGCCTTCTAGCACTGATGATGTTACCTAGTTGGGTCATGAGACGTCCGGAGGAAAGCAACCAGAGAACACCAGGGACACCTCACAGAAGAGCTGTTGTATATTTCCCTACCCTGATTAATAAGCTGGAATCTCTTCTTAGTTTAACTTGTAGCTGGAGAGCACTCTATGGGTGAAAGAAAGAAGAAAGAAAGAAAGAAAGAAAGAAAGAAAGAAAGAAAGAAAGAAAGAAAGAAAGAAAGAAAGAAAGAAAGAAAGAAAGAAAGAAAGAAAGAAAGAAGTCCAAGTTTCTACATGCATTCACTCACCACAACTGAGGGCTCTATAGACCCACCCCCAATTACAGTGAATCTACCCAGCTACAGACCCCACCAAGCTGAAGGGTCTGCTTCTGGATGATGCTTTACTCTCTCCCCCTGCCCAACCCACAAAAAATATGCAACGCTCTGGGGATCTGGAAATTGGAGACTTAAGGAATATTTTTAACAAAAGAAACATTCAGAGATACAGCCATATCCCGTGAAGCCGCACAACAGCAGATCACATCAAATCCTTAAAAAACCATGGACACCCCTTGATGGATGTAAAACTGAGCAGGATTTCGATACTGAATGCTTTTGCCAGCAATTTCAAGACACCATCATCAGTGAAAAAAGAATCCTTATGAAACAATCTCAGCAGAGCAGAAACAAATTGCCATCCAAGGACTCAAGAGAATAACAATGACATCATAATCAAACAAGCCGAGGGCAAGCAACTTTGCCCAGATCTTAGGCCATTACACTCCCATAAGAGGCACCGCAGACTTCTTAAAGATCAAAATCTACTGACAACTCCTACGAGACCATCATTTAGCCACCGTGGATATGCCATGCAATAACTTGGGGTGACTATCATTTAGCCACCATGGATATGCCATACAATAACTTGGGGTGACGTGATAGCAGTCTTCCAGTATTTGAGGGGCTTCTGCAAAGAGGAGGGGGACAACCTATCCTCCAAAGCACCTGAAGGCAGGATAAAAAGCAACGGATGGAAACTAACCAAGGAGAGAAGCAATCTAGAACTAAGGAGAAATTTCCTGACAGTTAGAACAATTAACCAGTGGAACAACCTGCCTCCAGAAGTTGTGAATGCTCCAAAATTGGAGGTTTTTAAAGAGACTGGACAACTGTTTGTCTGAAATGCCTAAGCAGGGGGTTGGACTAGGAGACCTCCAAGGTCCCTTCCAACTCTGTTATTCTGTTAACATTCTCACACATATAGGCTTCAAGCTGTGAGGAGCATCATTAATGTCAACACAATATGCCTTCTGTGAGTTTGTACTCACCAATATGAGCTTGTATTGTGACTGAGTTTCTACTTGCTGATGAGAACTACTTCATTGTTAAGAATTTTGATTATAACAGTAACATCTAATTCAAAGCAAACTTGAAGGAATCATCATAAGTATAAACAAAGTTAGTGTTTATACTCTCTAAAGTTGCATTTATTTTTCATTTATCTATAAACAAATCCATAAAACGACTTTTCAGTCCTGGTGCCAGCAGAAAGTTTAAAAAGTGTAACCAGAAGTAATAACATATTTTATCTTGATCAAATAAACTAACTTTATATTCCTCCCTTTTATTTCTTTTATTCTTAATATTTTATTTGTTGACAAATATTGTCGTAGGATTTTTATTTCTCTTCATTTCGTCTTTGTCCCATCGCACAGAGCATTCCAAGGCCTTAACAAGCCTCGGTTGAAAACCCACTAGGAAAAAATTACTTAGGTCAA